TTGCTGATTTGGAGTAGTTGGAAGATGCTTTGCTCTAATCTTGTTGAATTAAAGCAAAACTAGATGATTATTTGATGCAAAATCTAAGGAATTTCTTTCCTTTGAGGAAAAGTTGTTATTGCTTAAAACACTTGATTGTTTTCTAAAGGTGGTGTGTAATGTCTTGAATGCCCTAGCAGGTGTGATGAGAAAGTTAACCATGTCTGTTCTGGTAAATTTGTTTCAGTGCTTTCTAATCTAGCAAAGATTAGAACAACTCTAATCAAAACCTGTCCTAACCCTTTTATTTTTGCCAATGAAATTATGAGTTTCAGTTTCTTATTTAAATAACCAGTTATGATTTAACATCATTGCTTACAGTAAATGAAATCTAAGTTCACAGTTATATGTAACTATGGGTATGGGGAAAACAGAGTCAGTAAGTTAGTGATGACTTAAAAATTTTTTTACCCCAAGTTTCAAATTTCCATGTTAAAATCAGTCTGCATGTAGTAAAGATAATAGAACAACCAGGATAAGCGAACATCAGGTCGATCTCAGTGCAGGTATAAGCAAATTTTAAACTTGCATATAAAGATCATTTGTATACACTCGGTTTCAAGAAGTATTTTTGATTTATCTGAAGGTGATTTGTAGTCTTTGCTGTTACTGAAGGGTGTTTAGTAGGTTTAGAAGAATTAGGGTTCTTTCATGCAGCAGAGCTGGGCTTTCAGTGCCGCGCTATCAGTCACTGAGCTCTTGTGTGTGTATTCAGGAACAAGCACTTCGGATACCCGGCTGAGCAGTCAAGAGTTTCATCTTTCAGTCCCTTCTGATGCTACTACATCAGCCTGTAAACAGAATTCCAGAAATGAGCTGAATTTTTAATGTGAAGTAGAAGAGAAGACTTCACGTGTCTATTAAAATTAAGAAGTGGAAAAAAAGTAACGTTGTTACCTCCTCATTTCTGTTGCATTTTGCTTTGCAGGAAGCAAGTAACTTCAGATATTTTGATTAGAAGATAAATGTATTTTGCCTTTTTTATGTTTTTTTTATGTTTTTTATCAAAAATTTGTTGCTTTAATGTTTCCAGTGGAAAGATGTGCTGCAATACTGATCTTTATTTAAATGATGAGAGTGAAAAATAAATGTCACAAATGACATTGTCAAGTTGACTGTTATATCCTTCTCAGCCTACTTACCATATGGAGGAGTTTAATTATTATGAGTAGGAGTGATTTGCTTTGAGAGCTTTTAATTGAAAGATTAGATGAGGCTTGGAATGAGGAGGTCTCTTCAAGCATTTTAGGATTTTAATGATACCTTCATATGTAAGGATTTCAGGTAAAGGCAAAGGCTATATTTTTATTTCTTCTATTGTGAATGGTTGTTTTGAACATCTGGTGAAATTCCTGAAAACACCTGCTTTTCTTCAGCAATTTTGATAATCCCTGTTGTACCTGGCTGTCAGATTTGTACTCGTCTGTCTTGAAAAATCATAACTGTAGTGCAGTGCCTTCTGAGGCATTTTGCCATGAAGTATCATTTTGAATTGAGGAAACTATAATGTATAAAAGTAACAAGTCAAACTAAAGCAAAGAAAGAAATGTGAGGTGTAAAGAAATAGAAACTGGTTTGCTGAAGATGCAGGGGGCTGGGGGCCGGTGCTGTGACCACCTCCTTTGGCTCTGGAACATGCCAATAAATCTTGCTTATCTATCACTGCGGCTCGCTGAAACGTAGCTGTTTTAAGCTGAGAATAGCTGCGTTAAGGACTAGACACTTGTGAACAGCTCTTACTTCTGCAAGACCTGCCTCTATCCCAGATGGCTCCCGAGTAAGCTAGGAATGGTGGAACTAACACAACATGGTGCGCACTACTTCCCGACCCATCGAGGACAGGAAGTCACGGAAACACTGTTGGCTTCCACAGGGCACCATCTGTTGCAGTAAAAAGTGCTCTTCCTTCTCGGTGAACACGGAACATCCGCACGGAGCAAAGATCCTGTGAGGAGCCAATCTCCTAAACAGCTCCCCACAGCCCTATTGCTTTTTGAGTGAATGGACTGGGGAATTAAAGGCCTGATGCCACTGACCCCAACTATCCCTTGTGGTCTCAATCATGGAGCATTTTGTGTGTGCCTGTCTTCCGAAAAAGACCCGTCGAGTCATGGGGAGTACAGGAGGTGCTTTGAGCTGGCCTGGCGACTGGAGGCGCCTGGCTGGAGCCCCCACCCCTGCCAGGCTGCAGCCCTGGCCTAGGGCTGAGCCCTGGCCTGGCCGCAGAGCGGTGCCTACCGCTCGGGTCTGCCCGGCCCTTTCGCGAGTCCCCTGCCCCTACAGCAGGGTAGGGAACAGTGACCATTCGCCCTCTGCTCTGGAGCCCTGTGTGGGTTTCTTAAAATAACTTCCAGGACCTTGTCAATGTGAACTCTTGAAGATATTGATGTAATTAATTTTCCTTAGTAGTTTGTGCCAACATTGTCACTTCAGAAATTTAGCTCTTGCATCCTTAGACTGGGAAGTGGTGAGGAGCTGTGGCTGAATAGTTAAGGAGAATTTTTAACAAACTTTTCTCGTAGCCTTGCCTTATTTGTAGCTGTTTGTTGTTGTGTGGATGAAACCACAGGGAACTGATTCCAGTGTTCAGATGTTTGTTTCCTCTTATCTGTAAAAACAAACTTAATATTTTTGATATTACTGCTTAGATAGCTACTCTAGGTTTGTTACCCAACTGTGTCCTACGAGAGGGGTCTCTCGTGGCTGCCTTGTCCCTCAGGGACCCACTCCCTCCCTGGTGTGACCCACTGTTCCCCACTGCCTCGGAGCTGGGGGCAGTTGATGAATGACTCGGGGCAGGAGGAAGGGTCATTTTGAGAGTCCCTGCTAAGTATGCTGTGCCATGAATATGCCACTTAATCTTGCAGTGACAAATACCCTTCTTATCATGACCATAAGTTCTAAAATTTCCTCCCTTCGGTGCGGTGCTGGGGCTGACAGTGTGTAGCGGGACCCATAGCATGTTGTGCAGCTCCCTTGCCTCCATCTGCCTCAAGCAAACCGAGTTTTGTGCTCCTGTTTGCATGGGTAATTCACCAGAATTGGGCGCTGAAGGATCAGATTAAGTTGTCAGGCCCGTGCCATAAACTTGATTTCATCTCTGTTCTTTCATGTGACCGTGGCTTTCAACTAAAGGTGTACCTGACAACACATCAGGCTAGGACAGCTAATATTTGCCCTTGCTATGATAGAAGTGTTTGAATCCCAGACCCTTGACAGGATGGGTTCAAAGTGAAAGATCAAGTAGTCTTCTAATGTGTTACTCGGCCTTAGGCCCTTATTTATGGCACTTGCTGTATCTTAAGTCTTCTCTTGCCTTTCATCTCAACTAAGTGGGTGTTTGAGAAGTTCCTGGTAATGTTTCATCTATTATTATTATTTATTTTCTTTGCAACTGAGGCAAAAATCTGCAGAGTAGCAGACCATTAAAATTTCATCAAGTGTTATTTTGGATTGCTAGGACTTCAGCAGTACTCTCTTACTCATTCTTTAGGTAGTGGGAGGGTTTTTTGAGGCTGTTTGTTGAAGAGGGGGTTGACAAGCGTTATCAATATGGGAGTGCTATTTCATTTTACTGTATGAAAATAAGCCTGGAGATCAATCTGGATTGTGTTTAGAGTCAGTTTGTTTTATTGAGGTCTAACTGTGGTCCTACTCCAAATTTCTCAGTCTCAAGGGAGCTATTGGAACTGTCTCCTCTTTGACAGAAGTCAGGTGGTGCTGGCACCAGTGCATGGGGCATCTGAAGCACAGGCAGCCTGTTTACCCCTTGCTGTCAAGAACAGTCGTTAGCTCTTTGAAGTGCCTTCATGTTTAAATAATCAAAGATGACGAGTTTAGGAGGAGTCTACTGATGAAGAAATTTGTAAACCTCAAGGTTGAGAAAGTATAACCTGAGAAAACATTTTAAATTTGAAAAAACTGACCTTTCTTACATAATGGGAGAAACATTTTAAGTGACCTCTTGCAAAACAGTGAACATAGTTCTTCACAGAAGAATATGTCAGAACTAAGTACAAGTTAAACATTAGGTGTGTTTGAGGTACCAGCTTCTGTTCTGGTTATTGAGCTTTGCTATGACTTAAAGCATAACATAGATCTAATCTTGCAGCACAAAGTTGTTCTGACATGTGATACTACTTAAGTAGCATCATACTCTGATTTGCTCATGGCTATTGTGTTGAAAATGATTACTGTTTCCCTTTTGGATTTGCTTGCCTTTGTGTTAGCTTGCAGGAATGCTTTTTGAGGAGTGTGAGGAAGGTAGCTGGACTTTGAGCTGATCTATTCCTTCTGCAAGTCCCACTCCGTCTATAGCTATATTGCAAAGCCATTTTTTTTTTAAGAATCTCTAATTCCCTAATTTTAAACAGAAACACAAAATCATACCCACTCAGTTGGTTTAGAAACACATCTATTTTTTGTGCAAACTCTGGATTCTCTCCATATGTAGTTTTGCATCCTTTTTATTACATATGAGCTTAATTTCTATAATAACATGGAAGCTTAATCCTTTGATGGACTAAAAAATACAAAAAATACTTGCATGTTGCTTCGATTTTCATTTCCATTGCTACGATCAAAGCAGATTGTACCAAACGGTATTTTGTGTGGGAATAGCCAATGTGTTAGTACATTGGTAGTCACAGTGGAAATTCACTAATTAAAGCAGGCCTTTCTGAAAAGTATTTTCTGTATCCTTCCACACCTGTCGTTTAGTGTTGCTGGATGCGTTAGAATTAATGAAATGGATGTTTCACAGACCTTGGTGTTTAGTAACTGTCTTCAACCATGGATTACAAGTCATGCATGTTAGAATTTTGGAGCAATTGTCCCATATGTTGTGGAAGGGAAAGCAGAAAAATGTAATGACCAGATATAAGGGCAACCAAAGCCTTCAGTTGTGCACAGAGCTGTGCAACAGCAGCTAAAACGTCTCTTTTGCCTCTTCCCCTCTCTAGATCCCTGCAGCTCTCTCAGCCCGCCGTGCTTTACCGAGGAGGACCGCCTGAGCCTGGAAGCTCTGCGCACCATACACAAGCAGATGGATGACGACAAGGACGGCGGCATTGAGGTGGATGAAAGTGATGAGGTAGGAGCAGCAAGCCCCAGCGGCGCCCGCCTGCACCCTCGGTCCTCTTATGGAGTCCTTTTATTCCTGACTTTTCAGTTGTGGTTGCTCTGTGTGTGCTCTTTCCACTGCCAAATGTTTGAAGGTCTGGTTTCTAGAATTGTCAAAAAATGGTTGTTATTCTAGCATAAAGAAAATTCTCTCTGTAAAAGCTACTGGTTTAGGGGCTTGCATGTTAAAAGGGAAATGGTTTGTCTTTCAGTGAGGTGGTTAAGACTTGATATGGTCTTCTGACTAGTATTTTATTTTCTTTGCTTTAAAGTTCTTGCTTAAGGCATCACTGGGCTTTCTTTTTCTGTCTGTTGCAGACACTTTGACACAAAACTGCTTGTTACAGGAAGCAATTCAGAAATATTTCATTTTTTTTTCCTTCAGGTTTTATTGGCCGCTGATAAGCATCTCCTGCTTTAGGCTTAGGGGAGTCCTATTGACTTAAGGCTGCTCACACCTGGGTAAAGCTTGTAGCAATTGTCCTTTTAGTGCTTGTGCCTGTGTGGGGTTAATACGTAGGCTCCTGGCAAGCCAGGCAAGGGAGTTGCCTCTGTCCTTGTTCAGCTTTACCTTCTGATTCTCCAAATATGAGCTACGAAGAACCACACAATTCCAATGGAGAGAACGATCTGGAATATCTTTATTTTTGAGGAATAATCCGTTTGGTACCTTAGATGGTAATGTCGTGAGCTAGTTCAGCTACTGGAAAGAGCCCAACTCTAACTTTACAGGGTATATGTTATTTTAGCTAGTAATCAAAGTGCTTGTTCATTTACTAACTAGCATTTGGGACAGACACTTGGCAGGTCTTTCCAATCTCCAAACCAAAATCTTAGTGGTGGACAATAAGTCTTCTGAACAGTTCCCATAATTGTGTTATTATTTATGCATGAAAGTTAAGAAAAATAAAGAAAATACTGAAATACTGAAATAGGAAGCTTTTTGTAAGCCTTAAAGTACTGTCCTTGTTTCCAGTATGTTTTATCATCTTTATCTCTGAGCTTAAGTTTCATCCTCTTCCAGAGGAATGTTGGGATAAGTGCAGGCAACAGAAGCTAATCTTAAACCTGTTAGAATGATGGAGCTTAGAGCAGTCATGAGGGCCTGATGTCATTACAGCAGGATACTGAGCAGGGGAGACGGGTGAAACTGTATAGTCGGAGTACTCTGCTCAGCATAAAAAAGGAGACTGAAATACAACCCCTTTTCTGCTAGTTCACTTTTAATTATTGAACAAATAGTTGATAAAAATGATGGGTTTGTTTTGTTTGTTTGTTTGCCTGTAGTTTCCGTGCAGGTTAATGACGCTTGAGTGTTTGCATAGACAAATTTTCTTCTATGGCATTGAAAACAAAACAAAATTAGAGTTGCAGAATGGCAACTTAATTGCATCTTAAACTAGTTACCTGTGTTCTTGTTCATAACTTTCTCGTCAATGTTTTTTTTTCCATTTCTCAATCTGATACTTACACAAATGTAGTTAAAAATGTAGTTATCAATTTATCTGATATGCATATCTGATTAATTTCTTTAGCTCAGAATATATACTAAATATATACTAATATAAGTTAGTTTAAGAAACATGATTTTACTTAACAGAGCAATGGATTTCCTGCTCTTTCATGCTGCATGTTTTTGCTTGCAGTGAGACTTCTGGAAGGACAGTGAGAATGTATTGATTAAGTATTAATCAGCATAATCAGCATAATCAGCATAAAAATGGTGTATGTTGACAGTGAGGATGGAAATGTTTGTGAAAGATTTTGAGCAAAGCAAGGTAACTAGGTTTTAGGCTGTTCTAACTATTTCCATTTGCTAATCTAGTTGGGAAGTCCAGACGGCAATTCCAGGTAGTTCATTTGCACCCTGTTCTTTATATAATACTTCCAACATTCTCTTTCCCATTGTAGTTTACTTTCCTCTGTAAAGCTGTCATATGGAGTCGTTCTGTGGAGAATATATCCATTTCCAAGTATTGACTCTAATGCTTGAATCCAGAGAGTCTGTGTAGTTTTTTTAATTTTTAATTTTTAATTTTTAATTTTTAATTTTTAATTTTTAATTTTTAATTTTTAATTTTTAATTTTTAATTTTTAATTTTTTTTTTTATTTGGTGAAACGTGCTAGTTTTACTTCCTAGTTAATACTTTTGGGGAGGGAGGGAGGAAGGAGCTTTTGTCTTAGCAGTCTTGTTTTTTTGAAATGTTTTTGTATCTGGAAATCATGTAACTTTCTAAAATGTATCTGAATGTAAAACAATTTCCTTCAAAGCAGGAAGTGGAATTTAAGGATTGATTTGGGTAATTCTGTTGTAATCTGGGGTAGTTAATGACTTAGTGTGCAGCAATTAGTGTTTGAGGTAGGGTATTGCTTGGTGAACAGCGCAGAGGAGCAGAGCAGAGGAGGAAACGGAAGGACGTGTGTAGGGGGAAGCCCTTATCACTGGGCCAGGCCCATGTGCGTTTCCTCATCAGCCAGGCTGCCCTTCCTGCTTCACTGCTGACACACCGCGACTGCTTGAGGTGGTTTGAAGCTGTCGGCTGTGGAAGGGGCAGCTGGAAGGCAGCAGGTTGTTGGCGCAGCCTTTGGTGAGGTGCTGTGGTGGGCCCTGGGCCTCAGGAAGCATCTGCTGCCCGTGCGCACGTGGGATCCCTAATGGGGAGACAGGCCGTGTTCCGCATTGACACAGGCTTGCTGTCTGTGCCCAGAGGAACTTGGCATGGGCATCCTCCATCCAGGCAATGGAACAGGCCGATGTTTTAAATAGCAATGTCTCAGGGCGCATATTACATGTCTTGAAAGCCAGAGGTGTGAATTTACAGCTTTGCCTGCGTTTTACAAGATCACCTACTATGGTAGGCAGATATATTTGCTGTATTTTTACTAGTTGACTAGCATAAAGGGGAAAAAAAGGCTTTGCAGAGAGCTGGAGCATAAACTGCTAGCAGCCTGGTGAGAAAAGGCAGCTTGAAGCTCTAAGTGTCTCACACACAAGTGCGTGACGAAAAAAATACTTTCTCTGGAGCCAGGAGTCAATAAGAAACTAACTTGAGTGGCCTGAGCAACAGGAGGGGAGAGTAGCCCTAAAGTAAGGAAAAGCAGCTAGCTTGTTCTGGTGAGAAACAGTATTTTGGCTATAATAAGGTTTTTTGACAGCTTTTCTGACACAAGATGTTTAACAGGCCAGGATCTTTCTTTAGCTGCAAGAAAACATTCGAGATGGATGGGTGCTCCGAAGTTGTTTTTCTGGTGACTCCAGGTTATATTTCCCCCTGAAAAGCAAACGAGCAGAGAGGTGGCACAGATGTCGTGTCATGAGGGAGTGCGCTGCGCTTTTACAGGAAAAGGAAGGGATGGAGACTTGAGGCGGGGGAGAAAGAAAGCTGAAGGAATGAAAATGGAGAAGGTGCTTCAGTCATGGGTAAACAAACCATTAAAAAAAATCTAGAACTGTAATGAGTCCAGAATTGTTGCTAATTTTTAATTAAATGTTTTATAATAAAGAAGTGGTTCATGCTTTCATTAATTTGATTATATAATGAACTTGCTAGTGATATCCTTTATAGCTTGGGCTTCCTTTTTTTAGCAATGAACATGTTCCATGTACGTGCACATCGCAGTCTGTGTTACAAGCTCATTACTTCAAATATTATGAATTAATGTCATGATTTTGGCAGGATCTGGAGGAATAAATTTTGACATATAACTTCCGAAGCTGATGTTTTTTTCCTGAATTATGACAGAAGTAGGACCTCCTGTTGCGTTTGCATGTAAATGACTTGGTAAAAAAATGCATATTTTTATTCTTCAATTTCCTAAGCAACAGATGTAAAATTCAACGGAATGTGACTTACTAGGTTAGACAAGAGACCCGGTCCTTTTGGTATCCTGGCCTGTGTAGTGTTAAGCACCAAGTGTCTCATAAAAGTGCAAGCATTTCCATGACAGGAATCCTTAACAAATTGGCTTTTCCAGCTTGTTGACTCTACATAACTCCACATGGCTTTGCCTTTTCTGGAGCACAAGCGAACGAAGCGAAATCTGCAAAACGCAGATTTTTTTCTCTTTCTGCTTTTTGCACCTTGGAGTGGCTATTGATTTAGCGACCTGTTTCTAGGGGAGGGGGAAAGGCCTGCTCTGTGATGTTAGGAAGCCTTGGGTGCATGGAGCTAGGGGAAGGCTGCCAGGGAGGGCGCTAGGACCCGTCCTTTTGGCAGCGAGGAGTGGGAGAAGCCAGAACCTCCCAAGGCTGTCGAAGAAATCCAACCAGATATTGTAGGATGTGGGGGGTTATTCATTTATTTTTAACTTAAAGCTCGTGTGACATAGTTTGAGAGTTCAGTCTCCTCTTTTTACACTGTGCAGTGTATATCGGGCTCTTGAGAAATTTCAGGAGCCCATGTGAATTTTTAGCATTTTGTCTGGCAGGGCTCCTGCTGTAAGCAGACCCCTTCCTTTTTTTGTCTGGGAATATACATTCCCAGCAAGATGCTACATGTCCTTAAGAGTCACTTAGTATTTTGGGTTTTTTGTCATGATTGTTTGTATAATAAATACTCTTAGTTTGGTGGTTGTGTCCATGTAAAGTAGCTTATGCTTTAGAGTCAGCCCGTCAAGCACAATTCTGTGCAGCAAAGCACAGCTGGGATGCTGAGTCCTGGTGTTGCCCTGGGTCTGTTCTACATCGCACTGCACAAGAACGGCCTGCAAGGAACGCCTGATCTTTTGAACAAATCTTGGAGCTTCCTAACCCAATGCCACGAGTCTCGTTCCCTCGACGCCCCTCAAACTTACCTCAGATGCCCTAATTATCAGTAATCATCTTTATTTATGATTCAGTTTTAGCTCTGTTTTGGTACAGTTAAATATTGGAAGGTGTCATATTGAAAAGAATCTTTTTTTTTTTCTTTTTACATTTGCTAGGAAATAGTATATCCTAGTAACTTTAAACTGTGATTTTTCTGTGTGTG